TGTTATCTTCAAACTGTTTTTGTCATGATGATTATCTTATTTATATCTTGATCAGCATAGTTAAGACAAGATTAATTGGTAGCAAAACAATAGTATTAAGGGAACTCCTCTAGTCTAAACTTGTATTGTCTGTATTGAATAATATTATTTCAATCTTATAATCATCGGTTCAATATTATTGGAAAAGTAGCCATTACAATAAGAAAGAAACCATTTAAAATACACGAAAGGCTATTTTATTATTGGCGATTACTCCTTTTTTTATAATCACAGATAATAGAATAAACGAAAGATACAATGGTCATTAAATTGAATAAAGATGACAAGAAATGGAATAAAATCAGAATAAAATGATGTCCTGAAAGGGGAGGGGAGCGAAAAAATATTTAACTGATTACTGAGGCCTATTAAGCGATCTGGCTTCTCGCTACTTGCTTGCTGTCTAGATGGTTTACTTAGCATTAATAATTCATCTATTGTATCATGATCGATTTTAATTACTATTAATTGGCATTTTAATACTGGCCAATTCAACGTCTTAGCATACTTGGAGCATGCATTGAATTGACAAATTGAATGGTCTTGCTCTACTCTTAGCAAAATTAATTGGAAAGGAAAAGGTAACGTAGCCGACTTGAGCATACGTACCTAGCCCTCAATGTGCGTGGTATTGACATTAGTGATCGATCTTTTCATCGTAGGGTATGGTGTTATGTTAAGGATTAAATTAAACCTTATTCTATCCATACTGATATCAAAACATTTCTATACAGTAGGAAGCTAGCATCATCTGGTACAAGTAGCTATTGAACAATTGGCTTAGATTGAGGTACTATTATTGCTTTCTTCTTCCATTTTTAGATATACCAATAGGCTACCGTACATCAAGTCAAGTTGATAACTAAATGTTGTGTAGAGAGATTTTAAAACTCTTTTTTACCTCCCTTCATGAGAGGATATAGACGTATTTATATACATAGACATTCATGTTTATCGACGTGCTCGCATTCATAATCATATAACGACTTCACTGTATTGATTACAAGTGAAAAAGTAAAGGAGAAGCAATTGCCCCATCCTAATTCAATTCTTCCACTTTCTTCTTTGAAGTCCTAGCTTGGTTAATCGTTGCTGATACAAGAAAAGCAGTTGGATCATTGATATAGTCACGATTCATCTCGCCTTATGGCCGTGAACAAATCAATTTCGCTCATCGAATTGGAAGTAAAAGGTAAGCCTTACGGTTAAACGATAAAATTGAATGATTCGCGTCGAAAGTATAGTAGAATATTAGTCAAGGGAAAGTGAGCTACTGTACATCCTAAGACGGTCGAAATCATCACATTTTAATGGATGGTCATTAACAAATTGATTTCATCGATTGAATTCAAAATATCATAGGACAAGTTTTTGTTGTCTTAAGATTTATTTCATTGTCGAGGCAGCCATCCATCAACTGAAACAACGATTATACAATCCTTAAACGGAAGTAATCGATACTATCAAGGTCATCTTCATTTTACTGCATAATGATTAGGATTCTACTTTAATGACCGAGGTGGGGGGGTTTAAATGAATAGATAATTAACAGATGGAAATCATACATTTCATGACTATCATTTATCCATCGTCTTCATCAGCACATTTGAACCGGATGTCTATTTGTGTTGGTTATTTCAAAATTTAGTATCTTTCCTTAAAAGTAAATCCAAAACCAATCATTTCCTTTGTCACTACTCGACATATTTGTAATTAAAAATCTCGATCTAATCTGTATACTTGTATTTAAATGACAGAAAACAACCTTCTGTCAGGCGTAGCAGCTCTTAACAGATGAGATATTGAAAATAAACATTTTAATGCGATAATCTTTAAGCTTTCAATGGCTACAATGCAGATCAAAGACTAATTTCATACGACCATTAAGGTCTGCAATGACCAATTTATTTTTCTCATTTTTCTGTTATAGTGTTCGTTTGCTATTGTACTTTTGGCGTTGATTCGACATCTCTATTTCATTATTTTTTTATCGTTCTATTGCACATCCGATCATCGTCCTAATCGAAATTTCGTATTAACCATGTTAAACAGCATTTGGTCGAGGTATTTTTGCCTCAGGAGGCTTGTTGAAGCATTCAATTATAAATTCTTCTTCTTCAAGTTATGTCTTGAAAATGTGGCATCTCCATTTCATTCTTTCTTGACCATTCTGTTGCACAACCGTACATCGTCCTAATCGAAATCTCCTATTAGTTAGCAATGTTAAATAGGGTTTGATCGAAATATTTTTTCCTCGAGTGGTTCATTAAGGCTTTCAATGAATCACCTTAAACATACGCCTTAAAATATGTTGATGAGCATAGAAAAGCATTGGTGTCGTTTATTAGCAAAGTCTAAGCAAAGATATTTAATTCAGTTGTTGTTTCTTTCTGCCATTGTAAGAGTAAGATATTGGATAATTTTTCGTTATCACTGCCCTAGCTGGTTTTATGTAGAAAGTCTCTACCTCATTGTTAGGCATAGCCGTCCTACAGTAATATCCTCAATATTATCCTCTAAGATTGTACAATACTATTTCAAGTTATCCAGTGTTATAAATCCATTTGATGACAAAGCATAAAAATCCTGTTATGCGTTGTATTTGGCTGTATTACTTAGGCTGGGAAGAGCACAATATCGCATATTGAAATAAACAAGCGGAACATACATAGTAAAATTTAAATCCATTGTAACATGATATTCTCTACCCTTGTCATTTCATGCCCACATGCCCCTATTCTTCATGATACTGGATAACAGGTTTTATTTTATGCAATAACCGCTTGTTCGGTGATATCATCAATAATCACTACTTACTGTATCACATTTCACTTTAGACAGTTTTTATTTATTTAATAGTTAAAGCGGCCACAGTATCATATGATTTGAGTAACTTACAGAGTAAGAATATTAATAACTCGTTCTTTGGATAATATACAGTACAGTACTATCATCATTTAGATAGATTCTCTTGAAAGGAAAAGGTACCATTCAAAAAAATCAATTAGTAATCGATACTATAACCGTGTGTTCTGTCCTCTTATATTTTGTTATTCTTGCCTAAATTTTCCCTTATACTACACATTAAATAATGCCGGTAAAATCTGTCGTCCAGCTTTGCAATTAAAGCCATATTTGAAAACTAATCTAGTATGCTTTTAGTAACAATATGCTAAGATAATTAAAGGCTTTCGTAGCTTCTTTACTACTGTACTGTAATCATCGAATTCCTTCATCACTTCAACTAGAATTTTTGTCTACAAAATAAATGAAATTTAACCAGCAATTCCGCGTTCTAATTTAGAAAAATAACATGATGACCATCTCCTGATATTACTTTGGATTCTAAACGATTATAATCGAATACTTCGGATTGCTCAGTAATTAAAGCGTTGCCATTCTGAAGATTAACTGTCATCATATACTTATTAAAGAAACGAAATATATAGCTACGCTAACTTTGAATTTTAAATCAAGTGTAATAACAATCATCAACTATTATTTTACTGAATAATACTAATCTTGAGATATACCAAAGGAAGCTATCTAATACTTTTTATCGAGGAGGACTGTTTGTAATAATCAGTCATAAAGGTCAACTTCTCAAGCTATGATTGCCAGCAGGTGTACATTGCTAAGAGGTCTTAACATGAGTAAATACCAGCTCATTATATTTAGAAGAATAGCTTTAGGCAATGGATCGTTTAAATTCAAAGGCTACAGCAAATAACGCTATACATTTTCCTCTTTAATTTATACTATGTTTAGTTAAATATAAAGATTAGTTTGTAAGAAGCAAAATGGTTTAGTTAGAAATTAAAAATACTGTCTTACTCGATAAGGCTAGATAGTCTTATCACTTACGTCTTCCATTGCTAATATTAGTATTATCCATTTTGATGTTAGATGTATATGCACCAGATTCATCATTAAAGATGATGTGCTAGCAATCATCTTTGCTAATGTTACGTAATCAAACAGTCAAATCATTAATGTACTATCCTCACGGATTATCATCTCAGCCTGCGTCACGTAATTACCTAAGCAGGAGAGAATGTAAACTTGAGCAAAATTTACACAGCTACAATTTAAGTAAGTAATAACTTAATTAAGATTTCTGCTACATCCAAGAATGGGGTTTAGTGCTGCTTAGTGACTTTTTATCATATGCTTTAGTAGTAAAGGTTATCGCTATTTCGCTTCCTTTATTCGATTAATAACCTCTCACCATCTATAACATTAAATGTAAAAAATTCTCTCAAGAGCGATGTATTTATTTCTCATCATGGCATTACTCAATCTAATGTAATAAGAAAGATTCTCTCTATATCCAATTCAAGGAATTGAAAGCAAAAAAACCATTGGAGCATACATCAATCCATTAAAGATTTACGTAGCAAAAAGTAAATAAACGTAAAGAGGAACATCACGGTTTTAAAATATTAATCAACTAGCTACCATGGATAAATCGAATTTTATCTCTCGTTATGCCTCTTTTTGGTAAGTAATATAGAATTAATTTTGTTTCAATAGCAGTTGTAGAATTATAGCATGTAATTATGGATCTTTATCGCTAAGAAATATTGACGTCTATTAATACTATCTTTGCGTAGATTGAACTCTAGCTACTCTATTTTCTGTGCAGCATAAATTACATAATTTCCGTTTGTCGTTTATATGATACAATAAAGTAAACAGAAACATATCAATTGTTCAAACGATAGTCAGCTTTAAATTTTAATTAGGAACTGAAACCATATTGAAACTTATTTTAATCCTGTGCAGAAGTTTTAAGAAATATTTTGCTTATTATCTGAGTAAAACTATCACAATAATGTTCATAGACTTACTCGATTGTGGAGGATATCAACTTTTAGACCATTTATACATGAATAAATACTACTATAATCATAATGCTTAATATAAAGCCTCAATGTCATTTCTACTTTTAATATCCAAGGTGGCTCAATCCATTATTCAAGTTGGCTGCTAAAAGACGTCTTGAACAGAGCGATTTATTCGATTTATCAAGCGAGGATAAAACACAAGCATTAATCGATAGACTGGACAGGTAAACTAAATATTGCCTTCTTTCAACTTTGTAAAATAAATATAATTAAGGAATTAAATAATTTATGTACTTTCTAAACTCCAACACTAATATGATAAAACTAAATTCGCTTGCTTCCTGTAAGATTTTTAATAAAATATTTACCCTATTACATATGATTTGTTTATCAACTTTGGCAATACGCACAGCTCATGGCAACATGAACTAGAAAAGTGCCAATCTACTAAAGGAAATCCTAGTTTATCCATTACATTGTTTCATTGTTTTGGTCGGAAATTTCTTCTCCTGGCTATACCTTGTTTTATTGTAGTAAGCAATATCAATATACGTACTCTTGGCTGCTTTTGTAGCATAAATGAATCCCATCTGAATCAATTTAATATCTTGTAACATTTTATATACTATATATTAATAAGGTTCCCTTACTATCTTTCAGCAAGCATTGACTATAGCTCAACCCTTATTAATCGGTGGTCTAGTGAATTATTTCACTTCTTCGGTAGCGAGAATGCCTGAATGGCAAGCTTACTTATATGCTGCTGGCCTGTCATGTAGTGCGTTTTTGATAACCATGACAGAACAATCTTACTACTTTGGGGCATTTCGCTACGGAATGCAAGTTAGAGCAGCATTGTCAGCTATCATTTATAATAAGGTAAGTTCTACAATCCCGTTATAAAGAATAGGAATTGATGTCCAGTCATCTATAATGCTTAGCATTCATTACTAATTTTTCACACGCGTAAAACGAGCACACGGAGATTACTTTCATAATCAGTTGCGGTAAATCGTTATTCTACAAGAAAGTTACGTATACATTTTCTACAAGTTCAACTGCATGCTAATCAAGATTGGACAAAGTCAAAGAATGCAATTTCCATCTATACAATATTTTTGGTTTGATAAATAGTATCATAAGATACATTACAATATATCAAAATGTCTAACAACTTAAGCGCTAATTTAATATCAATTAGACTGCAGTAGTACTGAATAGAGGTATGATGAATCAAATAAAAGACTGCGGTAGCAATTTTAACATCACATCAGTGACACGTGAACAAAATTATGCGAAAAGCAATAAGTCATAGACTACAAACATAAATGGTATAACGTTAATGTCATATGAAAAATAACTTATTTTAACATCATGATTTTAGGCAGTAATCGTCACTATAAAATGAAATTTTTTATACTAAGAGCAATAAATAATTCCTTTTAGGAAATGAAGATAATAATATTTTTGATTTGATAGTTGATTTTTTGCTAGTGCAAATAATAGTAATCCTTAGATTATGAGGAAAAATAATCTCCTTTAATATACGATCATTAAGCAATAATCCTTAGTATTATAAAATGCAGTAAACGTCAATTACGTAGCTAATTGAAATTCAGTTACGGAAATGAACATTTAAATTTATGATTTTGATATTCTACTTTTATTTTAACATTCATCCAATAGGCATTAAAAATTAGTAATATTGCATTATCTCAAACAAGTACCGGGAATATCATCAACTTATTAGCCAATGATACTCAAAGATTCAATGATTCGACAATGTATTTGCATTTTATATGGGCAGCACCTTTACAATTAATATGTCTAACAGCTATTCTATGGGTATATATTGGACCTTCCTGTCTGGTTGGTTTAGGCGTATTAGCGTTAATGATAGCATCACAAGCAATCTTTGCTAAGTTTTATATTAAGTTCAGGTAAGCATTTATAAATCAATTTTTATTTATTATTCTTGGATTCATAAAACATGTTAATTGAATGCCCTGCAGCACCTTAAATATTTCTAACCTAATGATATGCGCAAATATAACACTTTCATATCGCACTAAAATTTCTTCCTACTCAGTAATACTTAGAAATTTACGTTTTTCACATCGTACTTTGCAAATACTATGTAGTTCTTTGTTCATAAATAATATGCAATTATAAGATTATAATGCTATAGGCATAGTGAATACATTTATATTTTAGTTACAATTCATAAATTATGGGCTATACGTGTATAAAAAATATCGAGGGTTCAAATGATTTATTTGTGCATGGGGTACAGTAATGTCTTTAGCACTTTATCTTAATTACGTATATTTCGCGTATCCATTAGTAGCAAACAAATGATGATATAGCTATTTTAAACAAACTTTATGCTCTTTCTAATAATTTATTTTCTGCAATAACCACTTAGTCTTTCAATTAAGTAACACAATAACTTTATAGAACAATTCCTAGGAGCCACTGAATACTATTTACGGTACACCTCTTTTCCTATCTGCATAGCTGTAGATCTAGTACGACGGTATATAAAATAGGACAATCGGAAGACATTATCTAAATAACATACTTCAAATTAAGAAAAAAACAGATGTGAAATTTTTCTGACTGAGTGTTAGGAAATAAATCTAATTCAATTATATTTAAATTTTTATTTTCCTGTTAATTTGTGCTGTGATATACATCCACTCTATTAACTTGTAAATAGCCAACGATATTATATTAATTCCATCTTTCAGACCATGTTAAGTTTATATTAACTTAATTATAAAGAAAGCAACGCATAAATGCATCATTTTTTGATTTTAATAGGCAAAGATATTTGAAATTAGCTGATAGAAGAGTAAGGATAATGAATGACATATTATCCAATATCCGTGTTATTAAAATGTACGCATGGGAAAATAGTTTCTCCAATTTAGTCAATTCAACAAGGATGTAAGTATGCTCTTTCATAGCAATATTTAGCTATATTGATATTTGTGATTTCAATTCATGATTGATTTTTATTATAAATCGTAATGCTTCAAAAAGTAATTGAGTACTAAGTAAATACCATAATTTACGATAATCGGGATTACACCTTTAATAAATCAACGTTTAGGCAAGAAGTGTCCAAGATTCGACTGGCTTCGTACATGCAAGCAATCAATTTAGGCATTTTATTGGTTTCAACTAGCGTTATCGCTTTTGCATCTTTATTAACATACGTTGAGCTAGGCAATGCTTTAGATCCTTCCACTGTATTTACAGTATTTTCAGTCTTAAATGCGCTACAAATTACAATTATGGAAGGTATACCTGAATCGATACGTAGTTTTGCTGATCTACGTTTATCATTGAAAAGAATTGAGGTAAAAGGAATAGAATATTTAATAATAGAGCAGATTAAATTCTATCCAGCTGATGTAATCACTTGTTTTTGAAATAGAAATATTTATTATTAGATGAAGTAACCGTTGTCGAAAGTGAAATTCCACGATCTGAATCATTTTATCGGTCGCCACCTTATCGAATTGAAGCAGATAATATCTCAGCTTCATGGAACACTTATGATGAAGTCCTTACCAATGTATCGTTTTCAGTTAAGCCTAAAGAACTTTGTGCTATTGTTGGATCAGTTGGTTGTGGTAAAAGTTCGCTATTAATGGCGATTATGAGAGAGCTGCAGATTACTCGAGGCAGTTTAAAGTAGGATTTTTATTCTACCGATTACAATTAGTGTCTTAAAGAGAGTAAAGAAAACAAATCAACACCTTATAACCGTATATTTAAAGGCCAATTGCTTTTATTTTCATTTTATAGCTGCAATGGAAGTATTGTTTATTTGTCTCAACAGCCATGGATATTTGCGGGTACCGTACGTGAAAACATCTTGTTTGGTCGAGACTATAATCAGGAAAAATATGATCAGGTCATCGAAGTTTGCGCGTTAACTAAGGTGAATTAATCACTTTATATATGAATTTGATTTATCCAAGGAGTTAATTTCATATATCTTACTCTAGTTGTAAAAACTACATGATATTTGTAGCGAGATGCTGTATAAGTTTTTTATCCAGTAGACACATAGACTGTCTATCATATTTATTGCTAGCTTGCGGTTCAAACAGGTCCGGTATCTAGTCAAGTACATGCTAGAAAGTCATACAAAATTAATTTAAATTGCCATTTTATCCATTCTTAAAATTTCAATGACATAGTTATTTCTATAAGTAGGTAAATATGCTGTCACAATTTCACTTCTGCGACAAGGTAACGTACAGTAAAAGTCTATAAGTAGCTACTGACTTAAGCGCCCTTTTACTTAACGTTAAACACATACAGCAAAAGACTGTAAAGATGAAGCTTTTATTAGCAAAGATACATCTACAACTTATTACCACCCTCTCAACTCAAATGTTACCGTTTATATAGGAACCGTCTAATTTGTAAACAACAACAGTATTATTATTAAACCTTACTAGGAGAATCATCTCGAACTAAGATGCTCCTTACATAGCTTTTCTATCAGTAAATATTTTGAATCTCTTACGCATACTTAATCTTAATCTAAGCTCGTAGGTTGTTTAATTTAACTATCATCAACTAGAACTTGAATCATCCTACTGCTATCTATCACACAATAACAATCAATATCAAATATGTAATGAACTATTGCAAACAACATCCACGTTAAGGCATTACTTATCTTACCTAGCTCTACAAATATGGATATTCTCCATACTAGCTACTACTGTACTTATTAAACTATCCTAATGACAAGGCAACACCGTGACATATGCTCATCCAACCAGGATTTGCAAACGTTTAGCAATCAATAAACGTCACTGATATTGCAGATCTAATTATCAAAAAGGATTGGCTGTAATTAATATTGTAAATTCAGTACCATGTACAAAAATATTTTCAAATCCCGATAGCTATGTAATTTATGTATTTTTAAATACATTTGGGAATGGAGATTTTGCATGTTCTTTCCTCTAGATTTTAATATATAGGACAGCCAATGATGTAGTAACGTCCGAAAGAAGCTGTTAGTCTTAATTTTTATCGAAATATAGCTTTCTGCAGTAAATTAAATGTCTTAAAAATCCAAAAATTGACCCAGACTACAATACCGGCCATTTTAGAATGCAACGTTTTAATAGCGATTTTAATTTTTAATTTGAAGACTGAATATCATTGTGTTTACTTTAAGCCAAAACTTAGTGTCTGTAAATTTCAGTGTTCATCTTCCAGTACAATCTTTAGTACATCGCAACCACTGTTATCAATATTTTAAAATGATATAAGTTTATGATACACCTTATGTATTTAATCCATAATTGAAGGTTAAATTCAATTTTAATCCGATAGGACTTACTAAGATTAAGTGATGGCGATCTTACTTTCGTTGGCGAACGCGGAGTTCATCTGAGTGGTGGTCAGCGGGCCAGGGTTAGCCTAGCAAGGTAACTGAAATACTATTCAAAATATGATCAATAATTTATATTTTATAGATTTTTACACTGAGCTAAGTACAATTTGTAATCCGATTTAATTTTACAGTATCCAATGATTTACTAAATCATATAGCTGCCGCTATTAATGATACATATTTTATCTTCAGCTTAAGAAATATTTAAATCTTTCCTTTTAAAATATATAGAGCTGTCTATTCCGAAGCTGATATTTATATCTTTGATGATCCATTAAGTGCAGTCGATCCATATGTTGCAAAGCATATATACGAAAAGTAAGTAGTCAATCTAGGTTTATTGTACAAATATACAACTGGCTTATAGACCGAGCAACCTTGCAATTAACTGAGACATATGCGTATACATAAGCTCATTATCTTCTGTGATATGTCGAACAGTGAGAAGTAATATTGATTTTCTTCTATAGGTGTATTCGCCGATACTTATACAATCGATGTCGTATATTAGTAACCCATCAAGTTCAGCTATTAAATCGAGCTGATAAAATTATTGTCATCAGTAATGGTACTATTGCCGCCATGGGTTCCTATAAATCTCTTCTGCAAAGTAGTCGCAATTTTGTTGAGTTGTTACCTCCGTCGGATGAAGATAGTAATAATAAATGTGCCGAAAGTGATGGATATGACAGGTAATTTATTTCATGATAAATAAACTAGACTACTTGTTTGATAAATTTGCACTTGTTTATAGCTTTCAAATGTTCTAGTAGAAGTTTTTAGCGCTCTACGAAAGTAATTTTTTTATTGATCAATTAAATTATTCCTTCGTCTTTAATCATTAAATTATGATAAGGCAGTTCTAGAATAAGATTACTTATTTAGCTAATCATCCACAATCTCTCATTCTCAGTAAAGATTGTCTTAAATAATGTACCTTGAAATATAAAATCTAATCAATCTCTTTTTTCTCACTAAATAGCGACAGCAACAGCTATCTTGGCGTTACAAAAAGTTATTCTAGCTTGTCTATTGCATCAGCAAGTATGATTTTTAATGCAGATGTAAGTTACAATATGGAATGATAGAAATTTTATTTGGACGCTAAACCTTATTCTTAGGACTGAATAAACTACTTTGGAAATGATTAACTGATATAGCTACTATTTCTACTAATTTATACAGATGATGGAGGAAGAGATGGACCAAGAGGAAAGGCAGGAAGGAAGTGTCACTATGAAGACCTATATACAGTATTTTGTATCTGGCTTAGGGGTTTTTGTATTCATTCTTTTTATCCTCCTCTGTGTCATAAGTCAAGCTACTGCTATTTTTACGGATTGGTGGCTAGCTAGATGGTCTGATAGCTTTTCTAATGGCAGTTACAATGATTCTTACTTATATGGTATTAGTAAAGACACAACAATTAGTATCTATGGCGTCTTGGTTGTTGTTAGCACATTACTATCCATATCTAGATCCGTTATGATTGCTGCAATGGCTGTTAATGCGTCAAAGAGTCTTCATAATCAAATGTTTAGTTCTGTAATAAAAACGCTGGTATATTTCTTCGATACTAATCCATTAGGTAAGGTGTTAAATAGCAATCATTTCGTCAATATCATATCTGTATTATAAATACTTTCATAAATTATAGTACTACAGAATAAAATTGATCTCTTTTTGGATTTTTAACCTAATATTAAATTCGTGCATATTATGTCTGTATAATAAATATTTTCATAAATTGTAATACTACAAGATAAAATTGATCTCTTTTTGAATTTTTAACCTAACATTGAATTCATAGATATAATATCTGTATAGTAAATATTTTCATAAATCGAAATACTGCAAGATAAAACGATTTCTTTTTAAATTTTTAACCTACAGGCAGAACTCTTAATCGATTTTCTAAAGATCTTAGCTTGATGGACGATAAGATTCCCTTCTCACTATTGCATCTAATCCAGGTAAAAAGATGATTACGAACTACATTTAATAGTTATTGCTTTGAACATTCGTAAAAGAATTGATTTTTACCACTTTTATGACTGATAATTTTGTCTTGGTACTATCGTTTATTGCGATCTTACATTCTATAAATGATGAAAATAAAGATTTGAAGTATAACTACTATTTTATATTGTTCATGATTTCAGTCTGGGCTTTATTGTGCTGGGGTAGTAATTTTAAGTGCGGTAGTTAATCCTTGGATTCTTATACCTGCTTTGTTAATCCTGGTTCTATTTATATTCGTGAGACGATTTTATTTACACATGTCTCGTGATATTAAACGTATCGAAGCAGTCAGTAAGTTCCTTTTTCTCTACTTATATTTCTTTCGTATTTAAATATAGATAAATGACTTTTATTCGCTCTTTACTAATAGTAATTACTATCTTTAAATGCATCACCATAGATAATAGTCCAATTTATTCACATCTATCATCAACTCTAAACGGCCTTATAACCGTGCGAGCTTATAATAAAGAAGAGGATTTCAAGGAGACTTTCGTCAAATATCAAGATGCACATTCACAAGCTTGGATTATCTTTATCGCCTCATTACGATGGAACGCATTCCATCTAGATCTCTTGTGTGATATTTTTATAACATGCACCGCCTTTGCTGCGCTATTAACTTCTAGAAGTCAAGGTATTATTATCATCGATTCATATCTATAATCCTCAAAGAATACCTAGATAGATATAAATGTACATAAACTCCAGATTTAATAATAAAGAAATCAACTTTATTTACTTCTTATCGGAAAATATTTACTGATAGATGTCGATCCAGGCGCAATTGGTCTTTCCCTAAGTTATTCTATTCTACTGCTTGGAAATTTTCAATGGGCAGTTCGTCAAAGCGCTGAATTAGAGAATCAGGTCAGTTTCAAAGTAAAAATTCTTTACGGTTATTATACTAGTAGATGAGTTTTTATTGAATTATCCTTACAGACTGTTTTTGAACTGTTAATGACTAGATGACATCAGTAGAAAGAGTTAAAGAATATTCGCAATTACCACCAGAAGCTCCATTGCGAACACATAACGATCCGTCGCCGAATGTCTGGCCCTCTAAAGGAGTGATTCGTTTTCGGAATTTACACTATAGTCATCATGAAGATTTACCGTTTGTGTTGAAGAGAATCAACTGTAAGATTTATCCAAGTGAAAAGGTAACAATGCGAATGCTAGAGTATCACAGTGCGAGGTTGATAGATCAAGAATCTTCAAAACTTTAGAAAATTAAGATTTATTGAACAAAACCTCGTTTAAGAAGGTACAACGTAATCAATTAGCTGAGGACCTCTAACGAGAAAGAACTATCTTACTGTAATAAACTACTCGCTTATATACTTTTCCGCGTTTACAGTCTTAGCGCCTTACTTACTACACACTTCAGTATTAGCATCTCAAATACAGGATAGTTTACACCTTTCATGTGAAGCTCTAGTGTGACCACTATAGCGCTCCTCTTTAAAAGGATTACTGTTACTAAGCTAGCTATATTTAATACTTAAGCCTCTATCGAGAATATCTATCACATGTTGAACGCAATAACTACGGTAGACATTACTAAATATATCATCAACTTAGAATACAATATTACACTTTCTTACACACGGTAAAAATGTATGTTTGATTTTATAGAATTCATGTAGAGTTTATTTAGTAAGTAAAACTTATTACTTTAAAGATTGGGATTGTTGGAAGGACTGGAGCTGGAAAATCTTCATTTATGGCTTCACTATTTCGGTTAGCAGAGCCGGATGGAAAAATTTTTATCGATGGTGTCGATATTTCAAAATTAGGATTACATTCCTTGCGTTCACAAATTTCTGTCATCCCTCAGGTAGGAGACTATGCAATGATTGTGCCGTATTGAACTATTTGCTTAATTAGAGCCTTGGACTTTCTTATAAGAGATTCTATATCACAATATTATTGATTATGATTGATAACTCGATTTATAAATTAGGAACCAGTCCTTTTTATTGGATCGATTAGGCAAAACTTAGATCCATTTCATGAACATACTGATAACGAGATATGGGATGCTCTACAGGAGGTAAGCTAACTTTTCAATATTGCTTATGTGAGAGTCAGCGAGATAAATTAATTTACCGAGCGAGGACGATTTCAATCGCTTACTAGTCTATTTTATAGTATAAATCTTGACTATAATAGGATATTTAGAGTATAGGTATTTGCATATAGCCATTACTTCAGACCTAAATTTGAAATATCAAATTTCATGAAATCTTTCAACTAGTACCTTATTGACTATGAATTGAAATAGAACTTGGCAAATTCATAGTCGCGATTTATTTTAAACACTTTACGATCTAAATTCTCGAATAGCGTAACCGTACCAATTCATCCCCTTCTCCAGCTTTTTGATAGCAAGTTAACAATATTCTACTTCAATATCGCAGTTATAGTAATGTTAAAGATAGCAATATCTACAGGTAATCTTTATTGATTAGTTTTTGGTGTGCTGAGACTGATGCTGTTAAAATATGATCTAGAATATTACCCATCATGGATAGAAACGGTCAAAGTAGCAATCTGAAAAGCTTTCATCTTTGCCTTTATTACAAATTATAGGTCCATTTAAGTAGTTATATCACGGAATTATCTGAGCAGTTAGATACCGAAGTCGCTGAATCTGGTACTAACTTTAGCGTAGGTCAGAAACAACTTATTTGCCTAGCTCGTGCCCTACTAAGAAGGAATAAAATCCTTATAATAGACGAAGCTACAGCCAATGTTGATTTTAAGTAGGTCTTAACAAGCAAACTCTGTTTAAATTTTTGAGCTTATTTCTACTACCGAATATCGAATCTAGCCAAATAGTCTTGTCACTCGTAGAGACAAGTTCGCAGATGCGTCACGTATAGGATAAATTCTGAATTTTTTTGGATAATAAAAATATTTGTACGATTCTAGGACTGATACTATAATCCAACAATCTATCCGTGATAAATTCCAGGAATGTACCGTCTTAACGATTGCTCATCGACTTAATACGATTATTGATTCTGATCGAGTCATGGTAAGTAAAAATGAATTCATATTACCAATAAAGTTTACTGTAGTCGATTCCAGTTATACTTGTAACAGAACGAATACAGTATGTAGAAGGTATCAATTGTTTTTAAGTAATGATAACTATTACGATCATGGCGTAATACTGTTAAATTTTCTTGGAATTATGATAATAATATCCTGGTTTTATCGCCATTCTTGTAGGTCTTAAATGAAGGACTTTTAGTCGAGATGGACACTCCATACAATTTATTACAAGATGAGAATAGCTTTTTCTATCGTATGGTAAGGAATACTGGCCCAACTGAATTTGGACGACTGCATGATATGGCTCGAGATGCCCTACTTACCAAAAGAAATCGGTCTTGGTCGGATATAAGTAGTGAGACGGATTCGGGAATGGAAACTCCCCTAAGTAATTATGAAGGCAATTCAGACTCGAACGATGATACTGCCGGAATGTCGGGACCTAATGTAGTCATCATTAAAATTGAAAATGTGGATAACGAAGTAACGATCGAGAATATCCAAGAGAATGAAATTACTTCGGCAAGTCAAGAAAATATTAATAGCTTCGATAGTACAGATGCAAATGAATCCCGTGCCGGGCATTTAAATAGCATTAAAAAATTAATTCTACCAAAGCTTGGATCACCTCGAGATCGAACCCGTTCACAACCTAGCTTTCAAAATCCAAGTAATAGCGAAAATCATAAGATTAAAAGGCGATATCGTAGCGTATCTCAGCCAATGCCTTATTATTATTCTTCATCACCTCCAACTTCGGATGCTGAAGACAATGACTATGATGATGTTGCATTCCGCGAAAGTCACCGTAGCTGGCAAGGAAAATTGCACTATAGACAGGAGGATAGAATGTCGAATTCGGAGAGTAAGCAGAATTTAATACAACCTACTATCTCTACAATTTCACTAGGAATAGATAATGCCGGCTATCATAGTGATGAAGAGGGTGATTCTGGATTGAAATCAAAAATGTCGGAAGGTAACTCAAAGAATCAACTTGGTCTTACTGCACAGTCTTCAAAGAATGATTCTATTAAAGTATCTATAGAAACAGCAGAGAATAAACCAGAAGCCAATTATGATAATATGGCTGAAATTCTCTACAGCGCAGATAAAGAGAAAAGTAATAATTCTTTGCTGTCATTACCCACCCGTAATAGCTTTAAATTTGGGAGAAGAAAGGACACAAATTCTAGCCAAGAAGCTAAATCATTAGAGGGTAATGAATCTGAATATTTTGTGTAATTAATTCTATTTGTCTCTTCCCCTAGCAAATATAACAGATTAAATAGATGCACGTTATACTCTTACTCTTTTTCATGGTTAACAATTTATTATCATAACCTTATTGATTTAATATATATTACTTCTAAAGTAATTGAATATAATATAGCCATACACTCACCGAAGAAAAATGGCACTAAAAATCAAGCAACAAAATATTAACGTTATTCACTATCTTCAAATGATTGCTAAGTTCACAATTTTTATAGACGCTCTTATTTTATTCCATGATGAACAAACTCTTTAACAAAGAGTCTTGTATCCTATAAATTATTGAGCACTTATTTTCTCTATATAGTAATCATTTTCCGGTAGCTATTTTAACCTAAACTTATCCTATTCATCGCTCAATTTCCATTCTTGACGTTTTATTTGCTGTGTATTTTTGAACTTTCCTCTGTAAGAAGAATTCACTTGTTTAATTATTGTTATTCTATGATCGATTTCTTCAACTCAAGCTTATTATTATCATTATTATGCCGTTCAAAATCAATGTTTAATATGTTGATTTCTACGATTCTTATTATTCTAAGTGATACATCATAGACTTGAGTTTGTCTTCGCTTGTATAGATTTAAATCGTGCAGGGGCTTAAATTAATTTGTATTAGTATAAGTTATCACTTTATCAAATTTTGGCATCTTCCCATTTTTTACTATTGCCACCGGTTACATTTGAAAAATTGGTTGTAATTCATTCTTTCAGACTAGAACTAAATATTGTTGATAGCAAATGGAATAATGTCTGTTAATTAGTTCAATTTATAATTCATGATAATAATGAAGTACTCAACAGTTGGATGTGGAAACATTCTCTCCATATGTTGAACATTATCCAGTTCATGAATAATAACTAGTTCGTGCTTGTTACTTAAAGAAATGGTCATATCGCATGGTATAAAAACAAGCTTTTAATAATTACACTCGATTAATTTTCATCTGACATACAATTTTGGCCGTATTATGAAATTATGAAATTATGATGAATTTTGCTGTGCAATATTGATCGATACTAGACTAAAATGACTGTAGCCTTTTTATAACTTGCGTACTGTTTCTAGCTCCCCCGAATTTTATTATCGCGGAGGGATTTATGTTGTGCTGTACAGTGTGCAGTAACAGGAAAAATAATTCTAATCAATTGATTTCTATAGCTTGCTTTCTCTCTAACTATTTAAGGTTATTCTGTTGTTATAGTTAGGTATAGGGTGTTCTTTTCACATAATTGACTCCTGTATATCGTATTTGTTGATGGCAACGATATAAAAATAATGAAATAGATCTTCAATTATTTTAATATGGCGAGGCTATCTGCAGTATATGAGACCATACATTACCTATCGAGCTAGCTACAGGTCTCTGATGAAACTATATTAACAAAATCGGCTCGCAAAGTTCAGTTTAGAAAGATCCTTAGTGATAATATGAAGCGATGCAAAATAGATAAAATAAGTTTCTTCATTCTCAAACATACTAACTTGAATATGTGTAGTTTAAATTCTCCGTATGCGTTTACATTAAAGTGCCCGGATTAACTATCCTGTTTTTTGTTGCTAAGTAAAATGATTTCAGATTGCTCATTTCGTCTTTTATTTTTTGTAGATTTTCTATTAATATATATTATAATCCAAATGATCATATCATTTATGATTTGTAACAGCATAGTAATATGAAATATCGACAAATATTTCACCCTCTTCTAATTATCAGTCCACTGATCATGATTGATACCAATTATTTCGAATTCCTTTGTACTAGTTATAAAAATCTTTGCAGCAGTTGTTACCCTTTTCTATTCGACATTGAATAAGACTAACCATTTCTACTATGTATTAAAATCTATTTAGAATCACGTCTCATCATTAAATAGATGCTTAGAGAAATCCTTACAATATATCAGTAGGAGATGGCATTGTAATATAAGAGAATTTCCGCTACCATTTTATTGTCAAATTACAATTCAAATCGTAGAAAAGCACACAATATATATATATAACATAACATAGGTTACGGCCAAAACCCGAAGTTGGCCAATACGCGTATTGCCCGGTAATAGCGCGTTATGATTAGAAAATAATCTCATTGACAGAAATAATTATCTGTTTTCGACTTATGTATTTCCTTCTTGTCTGTGATATCTTATTACTTGCCTAAGTCTTGATAAAATTCTTAACATTAGGTGTCCCAATCAATTTAAATATTTTCATAACTAGTAGTAGCTTGTTGACTAGATAGAACTTTTTGTGTTTTCTTTCGATAAATTATAATCTGTAGGAATAAAGTGGTATTACACACTGCATCAATCAAGAAATTTGCTAGAAGAATAAGACTATCTGTCTCCAATAGTGTTGTATAAATTCTGCCAATAGAGCCTAGACATTCCAAACCTATAGTTAATTTCGACAAGACGCCAGTATGACCATGATGAAAATTGACAAATACTTGAATAGCTTTGCTAATTTGCGCAGTTGGTATGGTAACCACTGCTAACATCGTTAATTTATCTTGACTCAGATAGCCCATAGTTAGGTAAATTATCGATGCAGCATGTAGTAACAGAAATGTTAAAAGATACGTGAAATTTCTAGTATAATAAAAGTAAAAGATGATAATGATTGCATATTGAACTGATAAAGTCATCGATTCACCCCAGGTACTAAATGGATACTGCATTGCGATATTGAAACTCATACTAATAGTAATTCCAATTAAGGCCAATAATAACGAAAGCAAGCTAATGCCTGTCACTGTTTTAGCGCTGTAGATTTTATGCAATTGGGGCAATTTAACAACAGCAGAGCCAACAACAATGGCGTAACCAATTGCTTTGCTCAACAGAAATCCAACACAACGTAAATCTTTATATTGGATATGAATACAATGACGCAAATCCATAATTGAGTAGAACATAGTGTAGTCGAACATCATTTAGCTATGATTATGCTTGAAAATGTTTAATACTTGTGAAATAATGATTCAATATTAATAAATACCGCTAGACGTGATGTGAATAATTGGTATTTCCTAGATTACCGTTAGTGGCTTTTCAACAAGATTGAGATCATACTCTACAGCGATTAATAATAGTATAAAAATTTTTAAGTTTAGAAATTGCTCCTCAACTTTTGGAATAATTCTGTAGATATAGTAACACTTTGAAGTGGAGATTTTCGATTGAAATTTTTGATCGAATAGATAGACACCTACCTATCGATTGCTGGCAATTGATTGATTAGTTGTGTAGTTGGTGTTATATTATATGCATAGCATTCCATCGATACCTCTGTGAAAATCATAATGTAATCTTACTCTTATTGCCAATACATTTTCTTCAATTTTCGGTGTTGTAGAGTCTATTAGATATTAATTATTAATTGTGTACGATTCGTATGATATTAAACGTATATTGTAATTTCCTTCGTTATCGCTATTTCTAAGGGGCTAGCCAAGGGAATATTCATTGAAAGGGCTTATAAATACTGTTTAGTTCTTTTAACCAGTCGATTCATGTGTTTTAAGTAGTAAGAGTTTTCAGTTGATTGTTCATTGAAGATACGAGTATCTATCGTATTGTAGCTACATCAAGTGCAGTCTACCGCCAAGAAAATATTTAAAAGAAACTTAGTCGTAATGATATGCTCCGGATGTGTTCAAAAGGACTCTTAATTGACCGAGTTAGTTTAAGCAGTGTGAACATTTATTTTAATGGGTAGTTGAAACAACTTATTCCAATATGCCTATTTCAGGTGATCCTGCCGCTACCTCTATTGTAATTGCATTTGCCAAGAGTTTGCTTTATACCGTTGTAGTTTGATGATGGTCATCCATTTCAGAATGATGTTAACCCTAGTCAATGTGATGGTAGAGATGAAAGTCAGTATTTTAGGTTCATTTTTTCGAAGAATTGAGTCATGATCAGATCTCTACTAAATATATTCATTCAATTAATTTGTAACATTTTATATTCATTAAATAATTCATTCAGAAGAAGAAAATCAGATACGTATCATAGTATAGCATCGTAATAATCCAGAAAGCAAGAAAGCGAAAAATGACCGTAAGTAATGGTTGGAGACTTAAATCTTACTGATTGGTCTCTAATCTAGATTCAGTATTGATATCATGATTCAATACTTTTACTCCTATGGTTCAATGGTAATTAGAATGTCTAGTAGTAGAAATTTTACCAGTTTAATTCACTCTAGTCTATATCAGTGGCAGCTGAAATTGTGTAGAAACCGTCTCGTTGTATACCCTACCGTAGCAAACTTCTATCGGATGACTCACCATGTACAGCACTAGTTTTAATCAATAGTTAGCAGATTTAGCAAAGAAGAAAGGAAGGAATCGCGGCTGAACTTAACGGATGGATTAGCCTAGAAGAATCAGATGAAATATCTTGATTATCTGAATATTTCAAAATCTCAGCAGGCGTGCAAGAAAAAATCCACTCGATACAGTATGTTTGAGCCTTCGGTGCAAAGTAAGTTTGCTCATAGTATTATCTTGTCTATGTATACTAGATGCACCCATGGTCTTATTGTGCTACATTTTTCTGCTTTAATTAATTATGCAACTATAGTGTCATAGTTGTCATAATGGACTTTTAATGTATGCTAATTGGTATATATTAAACTGTGGACAACATGCTGTAGTAAAGCCTCTCGTGAGGGCCTTATCATGGGATATCAAAATAAGACATGCACACATTAGTTGCAGTACTACGGCAGTCCAATACCCTCTATTACCTAAGTGAGATATCGTGATAGCAAGGAAAATTACCATAGCGAACGGCACTATTGATTTAATCTAGCAATGCAAATGATATTTCTAGTTTTCTACGCTATTAGACCATTGTATCTTGCCCTAGGGGAATTTTGTAGAAGTTTAAAGTAGACTAGCTAATGCCGCGAAAATTTTTTTACTGTCTAACTGTTGCGATTAAATACAATTTGTTGAAGAGTTTTACAAGATTTTCAGAGCGATAAATGCTATATTCAAGTTCATAAATATTATAATGTAGTAACAGTGATAAGTCATGTACTACACAAGAATTCTACAGAAGCTTCAAAACGTGGCAGTGCTTTATCATAGTGTTTTTTGAGGAATGGTTTTTACTCACGACTCACCAATCACAAGATGTTCACCAGCTTGCTTAAGTACCCTACAGGCAATATTAAGTTTAGCTCATATTACCATTCATTTCACTCATCGGTACATTTCTAAAACTCTACGTAGATATTAACAATTAATTAGTGTTCAAAATTTGATTCGATATGGTCATATCTTAGTACTATAGAATTCCATGACTTCCAGCATAGACCAGAGACGTCTTCGATCGGATCTTAGTCTGGAAGTTCTAAGTTTGCTATAGTAGGTTCTAATAAGAACCATATACATTAGACATTGTCTCATTCAAGATTCTATTCTCCTATCAGTAACGATTAAAGACTTAGTAGAAAGAAATTATCAGTGGATGGACTTCAATAAGCTAGTAACCTAGTTCAATCAAGATCAATAATCCTCTTCGGATAGTTACAATCTTCCATTTACATTAGACCTCGTTCCGTTCAAGCTAGTATTCTAGTACCAGTAGCGATTAACGGCTTAGTAGAAAGAAATCATAGGTGAATGAGCTTCACTAAGCTTTGGATAGTTAAAATCTTAAATTACACATACACTAGACATTATTCCTTTAAAGCTAGTATTCTTCTACCGGTAATGATTAAAGGCTTAGTAGAAAAAAGTCACCTGTAGATGAACTTCAATTAGCTAGTATCCTTATTCAGTCTCTTGATTGCACTCTTTTCAGAAAGCAATATCAATAATCCCTTTTTAGATCGTTGCAATCCTGTTGCTTTATATCACATCATTGATGACTCATGCTGTTTGATTATGCTGCATCTCTACTGTATGCGTATTTCTCAACGCGTTGTATATATATACACTGCAGACTCTCACATATACATAATAACACGTAGTAACTGTTCAAGTAGGCTCTAAATGGAGTTACGAGTACAGAGAGCTTTCATTAATTCGTATTTCACTTTGAGCTACTTAATGTCATAGTGTAATAAGAAACTCTCCAACGTAAATCAAAGCATGTCAACGCGTATGTCTAACGATGACTGAAATAAAATTAATAAAATGAATAAACGTCGAATAATGGAATAATTTCGATTTAGTAAAATATTATCTAGCTATTACAATACAAAATAGAGTTGAGAATGAACAGTGTAAAAGGCATTACTTTAAAATAATCCCTATAATGGCTGATTATATGTGTAAATCAACAATAGATACAAATGAAAATCGGTATATATCACACCTAGAGCATAAACTTACACTATACACTATCCAGCCCTGCGTGACAAGTATGGAGAACTTACTATATAATGGATCATTGGAATTATAGCAATTACTCAAGGTAAGATATTCTTTGTAACAGAGGTATAAAATGACCTCATGTGCTTCTCAGATTATCCACATTGTTGTAAAAGAAATGGGATATAAACGCAGAAATAAATACATTACACCATACAAAATCAGATCTTGAGATTATTCGATCATTTAGAGTTAATTAACAATGTACGTAAGACTTTGATATAATGATCTACGCATATACACATGCATTTCAGTACGTAGAATAATATCAACGATGATCTACATAACAACACATTGCATTCTTATTAGATTTATAAATATTAATCAAGAATTATCCACTGGCCTACTAATCCATCACAATAGCAAAGTATAGTTTTGTCACGGAATGAATTGTTTCAGTCATCGCTTGCGGCCGCATTGTAGTATTTTCTTGATTAACCTTCCACACTTCCATTGACAGTATGCTATCAGATCTGATCCGTCATTTTCTATAATATAAACATGATTTCACTGATTGTTATCCTTAATGAAGGTTGCAATTATTATGATTGGTAGTTATTGTTATGGAAAAATTATATGACAATATATAATAGCCAACTAATTTAATATGCTTTAATAATGATAATTATGTTATTGAGGCAATTTTTTAATGTGATAATCCTTATAAAATAGCCACAGCAAATTGATTGATTCCAGTTATTGAAGATTAATAGATGACTGCTTTAATATACTGCATTTGATAGTTTACCATAAATTTATCTTGCCAATAATTGAAAGCTTCAATTAAAGTTAAACTTAATCATCGAGTTATAACTTTGGATAGGATGGTATGATTGACTTTTAACTTAACTTGATAATATAATACCTATCCATGGATTGACTATGAAGCAAGAGCAGCAATCATCCAAAGACAGTAAAGAAAACGACAACACCTCACATAATCCAAAGACTAGCCCTCTGCAATCAGCATTCTTTCTATCTCGCTTTGTGACATTCTGGTATGTTAATCGTTCCAAATGATGACATTGAAAGATTTCAATCTCTGTCCACGTAAAGTAGAAACAATTTAGGCAGTCTACTCTCGTCAGTTCATGACCCCCAAAAATAATTATAAAACTGGCATTCTTCGTAGTTATAGCAAACAAGAAAGTATCACACGTGAGAAATTGCAACAAGTACAGTACGTTTAATGGATACCATCGCTTTAGTCTGCTTACACTTCGATTAGTGTGGTAAATTTTGATATCTGAATGATATTAAAATTACTTATAAAGCAATAAATTAATGCTGGACAGCATAGAAGGCAACTGAATTTGATTTCGATCTAAAATATGCCTTATTAAATCACTTTATCTAGCAACCATTTAATCGTACGTATTTTATTCTATTCTTGTTGATGCAATATTTATGCCATGATATCACTATCTTTATTAATGCAGTTATAGAAAATAAAATTTACGAGTTGCATTATCTGTAAAACTATAAGTTATTATTGATCCTTGTAGTCATTTAATCGTACAAGGAATATGAACATTGTAACTATATTTTGGCTGAGCTTCAGAGTCTGTGTGACCACATCATAAAATGTTATACTTAGCAGAGTACACGTTTTATTTGTAAACTGTTTTTACACGTAATCTAATTTTTATATTTTCATATATATGTATTGCTTGATAATGTACTAGATTAACCAGCAATACTATGAGATAAGATATCAGTCATGAAATCCCATTTTATCGAATTTCTCATTTGGCGTTTTCTTGATAATGTTAATCAAACAGGTGGCTAAATCCATTATTTAAAATTGCTCAAAAACGATGCTTAGATCAAGCTGATCTCTTTCCTTTAGCAGATGAGGATAAAGCTTCCATCATTTCTAACAAATTTCAAAAGTGAGTAGGCAAATATATATCAGATTGAATACCAAAGAGATAGAAATAAAGTTATATCACAACCAATATCAGTCGATCAACACCAAGGCAACTACATATGTAATTTTATCTGGTATCATCAGATATTGCTGCATCATTCTATTTGAATATATGAATCATTTATGATGTACTAATACAGATATAAATAGCGCTTGAGGTTTAAAATTTACCAACAAATATGCTACAGACGCTTTTCAAGAAATCTTTCACCTCTGTTCTTAACTAATTTACTCTCTTCAAAAACAGAATATGGCAAAAAGAACTGTCTAATAGATATTCAAAAAATGTCAAGCCTAGCCTCAAGCTGGCTCTATTTAAATGTTACATATTTAATTTCATGCTAGTTGGGATACCTGGTCTTCTAACTGTAAGTCAGTTTGTTAATTATAGTTATTATAATTGATCCTACTTACTTGTTCGATCTGATACGCGTTTCTATAGTAAATTTGGAATAGCTTGCTGTACTACTTAATTTATATAATTGATTAATTACGGTATTAAAGTATATTTCCTAGTGAGCTATTTGATCCTACAAAATGTTTGTAAAACACACTTTAAGATATAGCATAAAACGATATTTTACCCTTCATCAAGTTTTCTACTGTACACTTAGCTAATTGAATATATCAGACGGTGCGTTAATCAAACCTTCATCCACTTAAACCAAGAACTGGTCTAAATTTGTCTCGTTCTTGCAGAACATAATACTGCATATTTATAGTTTACTCACTATGGTAGTTGCTAACAAGTACACATCTCCGCATCTATTTTTACACTTAAGTAAGCAATTGCATAAAAAACAATTATTCTGTCTTTGTTAAGATAAAACTATTGTTAATTCACGCAAGATCTCTTTACTTTTGTAAGATAATTATAATTCAGTACTACTATTCCTTTTAAACAGTAGCAGTAATAAAAATTAAAATTCATTTGCTAGCGAAATACCATAAAAATTACGCATAAAACTAGCCGAAATCTTAATTTTGTTCATTGTGATCTCGAATACAATTAACGTACATCTTTAAAGATGGCTAGAGAATTTATAATGTATACGAATAATACACTCTTCGGAATTTTATTCTTTAATTAAAAGAAATTATCATATCGTAAGCCTATTTAATGGTACCAGAAATAAATCTTACTAATTATTGTGTAATAAATTGTTATTAAATGATTATCGTTAGGAATGTTTTGCTATTACACAGCCTATATTTATTGGTAGGCTAGTAGCCTACTTTTCTGATCAAGAGACAGAAATAAGGACTAATGCGTACTTGTACGCTATGGGGATTGGAATAAGTGCCATTATGGCTGTGTTCTTTCAGCAAATTTTTCATTTTGGTGCCTATCGTGTCGGCTGGCAGATTCGCATTGCGCTTTCTGCTGCTGTCTATGACAAGGTAAGAAAATCTTTAATTGCTGTCATATGCACTAGATTATTTCCTCATTTTAGAAAAAGTATAACTTAAATGATACAAATTTGATCCTTTTTATGCGTAGACTCTTAAATTAAATAGCGCTGGAATCTCCAAAATTGGCACAGGACATATTGTCAATTTACTAGCCAATGATGTCCAGAGGTTTAACGATATCATGACCTATTTACATTATATTTGGATATCTCCGTTAGAAATTATATGTTTATGGGTATTACTGTGGATCCAAATCGGTCCTGCCTCAACTGGTGCTATTGTTGGTCTGTTGTTTCTACTAGCATTTCAAGGAGTATTTGCTAAGTTACATGTCAAATTTCGGTAAGACAGTATTAAAATTACTGGATTTGTGAAGGGAAATTAAGGATCCTCAAAGGAAATAGAGCACTTCAATCGAAACGAGTAAAGAAATTTTTTTATATGAACGTGTAGTGTATTCTACTATAATAAATATTTCTAATTCCTCATGAGATCTCCCAAGATACCTACCGTATCCTACGACCTAAGTACGATGTAAAATAGGCCTTTGTAGATCACTTTTACTACGAGCTGCATAAAGTCCATGACATTATTAGGCTAGATGCGTAATACTACAATGTGCAAGGAATTCTATAATATCATATGATATCATTTGTATGAAGAGAGTTATATGGTATTAGGTAACTGCATCAGATAACAGACTTAAATTTGAACTACAACATCATCCGTAGTTTAAATTTCCGGCGATGTAAAATTTACTTATATTTTAGTTTCTTATATTATTTACTTGATTAATAATAAGAAGGAATACCATTTTACCTGTAGCCACTAACATATGAAAAATCTTATTGAAAAATTATTCCGATCACTTACGGTAACTTCTTATATGCTTTTTTAGAGAAAATTACTTATCACATGCCGACGATAGAGTTAAGATTATGAGCGAGGTCATATCCGGGATGCGTATGTTAAAAATGTACGCTTGGGAGAAATCATTTTGTGATGCCATCGAAAACCTTCGAAGGTACTGTTAAGATCGCTGGTAAGGCTAAGGCAAAACTAAGAACCCTTAAAGAAAATGCAGTACTTTCATACCTTGAACCTTATTGTATGAACTTGCATGTATATCATTTCCATAGTAATTTGTAGTTTCTTACTAATCATCTAAGATCCATATACTAACTGATTACATCTCAAGCTACTCATAGCAATACATAATTCAGCAAATACTAATGTGGTAATATCCTGTCATTCTACACTATATCACATTTACAGTAGGCTATATCTTAGCACTATAGCAGAATACCAAAAAAGCATATTATCCACTACTGAGAGCACTATAGCTAGATTTTGTCTATAAATAATTATATCTGTGATGGATTAATTGAAATTATTCTACCTTGATCTATTCCAGGAAAGAAGTTAGCCAGGTTTTACGCGCTGCTTGTATCCAGGCAACTAATATGGCAATGTATTTTACTTCCACATCCTTCGTGACCTTTGTGTGCCTCATTCTCTACGTTTTACTTGGTAATCCACTGAATCCACCGATAGTCTTTACTGTTTTTTCGCTTCTAAGTGCTGTCCAAACCACGATTATGATCGGTATTCCTGAATCAATCCATGCACTCGTTGATGGAGTTGTCACGGTCAGAAGATTAGAGGTATAAAAACCGCAATATCCTATCGGCATGATATATTTTGTTATTTTGTACAAGCAGTAATGTTATATGTCATTGAATCTCTCATAAACTATTAATAGTCTTATAAAATGTCAGGAAATAGCATATCATTGGATAATCTTGTGATCACCTCTTAAAATGTGTAGAATTTTCTCCTGATGGAAGACCACTGTGAAGATGAAACCAGTTTAGATGTTCCCGACGATTTCGCGATCGTTACATTTGATATTAGCCACGAAAATGACGAAGACCATGAAAATGACGAAAATGATAGCAGCAATGAGAATGATATCGTGAAAATACGCGATGATAGCGCTGCCAGCTCGAGAACTGTAAGTAGACCATTGTCGACCATAGATATCAGGGGTCTAGATGGAGAATCAAGTGATGATTCGGATACAATCTGTATGAGCGTTCAAACCAGCCCCCAAAAATCGCCTAAATTGGTGAGGACTGCAAGTACATCTACCGTTGTTGACGATAATAGCTGTTTAGTTGTAGAAGGTAGAACTGCAGCTGCTATTGTTGCACTACCAAATAAGAAGAAGAGAACCCCCTCAAGGCAACTATCTGATGCAGAATACTCCGATCGGATTATACAAACACTCAAAAGAATTCAATCGGAGCAGGCTGCCGCAAGATCAATAATGAATCGGAGAAGATCTTCCGATGCCGGCATATTAACTAATCCGATCATTGCAGGTCTCGGCAGTAATAAGAATGAAAAAGTATATAGAACAATGTCCATGATAGAAAGCACTGAAAACCGCTATGCCAGCTCATTTGATAATGTAGGAAAAAATAATAATGAGTCTGCCGAATCAAAAGATAATGATTGCAATGACGATGATACTAAGAACTATAGGCGAGGTAAAAGGCCTTCTGTTACTTTTTTTATCGATGAAGAGGATGAATCTTATCAGAACGAAGATACCACTGATGTATCAAGAATAAATTCTCCAAAATCTCTACCTAAATCGCAAGAATCGAATCATCAAATTAATCATGGTCATGACGATAGTGGCATTTCGAGCACTGGAGCAAAAACTACAATGCCGAAAAGATCGTCATTGAAAAAGAAAGTGTTAAATACTCATGTTGAAAATATTGAAACTAACGATTTTCCTACTATTACTGATAGTGACAATATCAATGATGATTTAAGTACAGTTCCAACGCCACCTTCTGTAGTTCTGTCCCAGAATAATTCCCAAAATGAGCCTATTCATCAACAGGAAACCATAGCGCCATCGACATCGGGCGAAGAAGGCAATAAAAGGGGAATTTCATTAACTGAAGCTATTAATATGGCATTTTCTAATCAAGCAACTAATGAAACTACGAGTAAAAGTAGTTCAAGTGTAACTACGGAAGATCCTCCTCAAAAACACGCTAAGCGTGTTACTCTTAAGGCTAGGAGAAGGAATGCACTATCAAAAGATGATAGAAAAATATTCGAATTCAATGCCACTAAACGTAATCGAGCAAAGGCCGATGAAATGGCAACTAACTCGATAAAGAAAGCTGGCAATCAAATTCCCCAACAGGGTGATAGGGCTAATTGCGATACAGTTCCAAATTCTACTTCTATTCATCAAGATATTGCGTCCCCCAGGATTCTTCGAATTAGAAAGAAACGTATTGACAAGAAATATCAATTAATTTCGGAAAATGGAGTCCAAATTCTCAATTATAAGCCTTATTCTAATGACGATAATAATATTGAGAATATTACGCAGAATGGAAGTCACATTAACCAAAATTATCAATCCGAAGTAAACCAAAATAACTTACACCCTACTTTGACTAACAACGACGGAGAAAGTAAAGTTACGGGAAAGAAAGAGGAATTTTTGCCACGGCAAGTCCACGTAAATAAGAATTTTCAGCCCGAACAGAACATGGAAGAGGATACGAATTTTGATATTAATACTGAATCATTGCACGATCACAGCGATGAAAATTCCGCAACGGAACCAGCTGTACATAAAGCCGAAAAGCTAAAAGTTCGCGACGACATATCTGACGAATTGCATGCTCAGCCTGATACGGCAACAGGTAAAAGTAAGATAATATCAGAAGAGCAAGCAAATAAGAATTTACCAACCTGCTCTGATGATTACAAGGTAGTAAATAATGCATTAAATTTACCCTCAAACCCTAATGCTATGATGGAACAAGACTTAATTCCAACTGTCTCTGCAAAAGAGCTTGCAGATGAAGATCTTCATAGTTCCAGTTTGCATGGCATATCGTTGGAAGTACCAGCAGATACCAACGAAAACGCAATCCATGAACCACCTATAAGTAATATTCATTCCGAACGGATAAATTCCATGGGTGGAAATGGCGATCCTAGCGATCTCATTAAAGAAAATATCCGTGACAAAAACGATGAGATTACAGCATTACCTGAAGGTGAATCCTTAGAGCCAAAAGGGAAAGAAAACAATCTACATAGTATGCTTCTAGTACCTGAAGATAAACCTTCAAGAATGGTAGAAAATAATTCGAATGATATTCTTGCATGGCCTAACTGTAATACGCTAAAGGGAATAAAAGAAGAAATTATTTCCAACGGCATACTTGCAATACCTGCAAATGAATCTGCTAAGACAAATAAGAAGGAAAATAGTTTGGACAATATGCTTGCATTACCTTCAAATGAACTTTTGAATAGGGTAGAGAAAGAGAACAATTTTAATGACAAGCTCGTCTTGCGTAAATATAAATCACTAGAGAGAGCAGATGAGGAAATCAATTCGAGTAATGTACTTCCGATACCTACAAATGAATCTTCCAAGAGTGTTGTAGAGAAACGTAATTCAGATAACTTGCTTTCATTGCCTGAAAATGAAAATTTGAAGAGGATGGAGAAGGAAAATAAATTCGGTAGTATACTTGCTTTGCCTAATGGAGAAATTTCAAAGAAAATAGAGCAAGAAGGTAGTGTACATGATCAAGCAGAATCATGTAATGAGCAGAAACTAAAAGTTCAGGAGTCGTTGAACCAGTCCGAAATCGATAATACTAATACCCTTCCTTCAAGGACCACCAATGAAACGGCCAGTGAAGAAAAAGCTGTCCTTCGTAAGGAAAGGAAAGAATCAACAAATCCTCTCATGCGTCGACCTGCTTTTCGAGATGCAGCATCTTCCTCTAAAAAAACTTTACCGTTACTTAATGTTGCAGATACCTTAAAGCTTCCAACAGAAATTGAAATGGAAGAGTATCGTTTATGGCAGAATACTGACGTAGACGTAGATACTGAGAAAAATCAACCAGATTCATCTAATTTTCAAGCTTTACAACGTGTCCGAAGAATGTTACGAAATAATGTCTACAATACCAATGCTCCTACGCAATGGGGTCAAGATGATAGGAAAACGAGACGAAATACCATTACATCGGAAATTAATGATACTCCTAAAAGTCGAATTCGTTCTGTTAGCTCAGTTACTTGTGTTGGTGACGATTGCAAGCTACTAGCTGAGGGCATTTCTGCTGGTTGGGGCGGAGATCTTAGCCTGCAGGATATTAACTTTTCTGTTCAAGGAAATGAATTATGTATAGTTGTTGGTTCTGTTGGTAGTGGAAAATCTACTTTATTAATGGCCCTCATGGGGGAAATTCCACTGGAAAACGGACAAATAATGTAATATTAATAACATTTGGTAGCGATACATTAAAAGTTTAGCTCCAAAATTTCCATATGACTCCATGTCTAATCCTTGACAAATTTAAACATTTTCCCTTATTGGTAGATATGAAGGAGATATTGCATATGTTCCTCAAACGCCGTGGCTCGTTCCAGGAACGATAAAGGATAATATCTTATTCGGAAAACCATTTGACAAAGAGAAATATCGTAAAGTGATCAGAGTTTGTACTTTAGACAAGGTATTCATAGCCTTTGATTTCTAGTTAGCATAGAGTTTCGTTTTTAGTAAATGATAAGGCTATTCAAGATAAATTAACCTCTTTAGATTGTTGACGTATAGCCACCATTCCTGTTGATTCCGATCCATGAAATTTATTTTATACTATAATTTATAATATTTTAGGATTTTCATCGATTACGCCTAGGCGATGCTACTCATGTTGGCGAGCGCGGTACGCAGTTAAGTGGTGGGCAGAAAGCAAGAGTTAATTTAGCCAGGCTAGTACGAAATTCAATTTGCCTTTTATGTCGGAGATTTTTTCGTCCAATTGCAATTTTTATTTAAGCTGAAAATCGATCATTGAGTAGAATTTGCTCTTTGTATAATAGGGCGGCCTATTGCGGAGCTGATATATACTTTTTAGATGATCCTTTAAGTGCTGTCGATCCTCAAGTTAGTCGGCAGCTATTTGAGAGGTAAGCCAATTCTCCATTGCTAGTTGTAATAAAAATATAATTGAATTATCTCAGCATTCTGGTTTCAAAAGTCCATTTAAATTGACCATGAATTATTAATTATCAGTGCAGTAATAACGCTTTCATGAAGCAAGCATAATGATAATCTGCAATCTAATTTTATTCATTTTAAGATGTATTTGCGATTTACTTGGCGGTCGATTGCGTATATTGGTAACCCATCAGATACAATATCTAAAAAGAGCAGATAAAATTTTAGTATTAGATAACGGCAAATTGCAACATTATGGGACATATGAAGAATTAGTTGGTAAAGGCATTGATTTTCTATCTTATGTGAAGACTGATGAAGAAGATAAACAAACTGAAAGTTTGTCTGTTAGGTAAGATATTTTATAAATCCAATGACTAGCCTACAGCTAGATTAATTTATTGATTTATAGGTTATAATTTGCCATTATTTAATTAGCAATCTAACTGTGCCAACACGAGAAAGGCGATATACAATCTCTGCAAGACATATGACTGGAATAACTAATAATGAAGTATGCTATCTTTCTATGTATCCTTGCTCTAATAAACTTTACTAACATAGTCTACATGATACGAGAGTATAAAACTGATGCTGTCAATGCAACAACAGATTAGAAATTATAAATAAAGCTAATCAACGTATAATTATATATGAAGTACCGTATATGCTGATCTCTCTTCATTTTCTACACGAATCACTTTACCAAGCCTCCTCAGGAATCGGTTCAAACTGAAGATAGGATAGAAGGCGTTGTGCCACTCACGACTTACTACTTTTTCTTTAAGGCTGGCTTTGGATTAGCTACCCTTATTATGTTTATACTAATATGCGCTATTAGTCAAACGAGTACAATTTTTTGCGATTGGTGGCTCTCGCAGTTGTCGGATCAATTCACGCGGTTACCAGATAACCTAACCAATGCAGAAAAAATTGCTTCTGTCACACTCTTTGATCTTCATATCGGAAGTATAATAGGAATCTACTCAGCTTTGCTAATATGTTCACTCCTATTAGCGTTAGGTCGATGCCTAATGTCTACTACTACTACCGTTAATGCTGCTAAAAGTTTTCATGATAAAATGTTGCAATCTGTTGTTCAAACACGGATGCAATTTTACGACACTAATCCAGCAGGTAATTAACTGATGGCATTATTTCAAGGAATAAGGCGTAAATTAATCATTGAACTTAAAATATCGATAGTGAACGAGAATCGTTTCAATATCCTACAATTTAATGGTATCTGCCGCCACTTTAATACGAATAACTGATTTATGCTTGCTGTGCTTTTATAGGTCGGATAATAAATCGCTTTTCCAAAGACGCAGCGGCAATGGACGACAAGATTCCTGTTTCATTTCTGGGAGCTACTCAGGTATGCATTTTTCTTGGATAGAGATTTAAGACTTGTCCTTATCATTAAGTACCTCTTCTATTTGATATAATTAATTACTATCATACTATTTACCTGTTCATGTGCATTAAGGGATGTTTTATCAGTAAATAAAGCAAATATCTTTTAATTTTTAGTGCTTTGTAGTGTGCATCGGAGTTATTATCACAACGGCAATAGTCAATCCATGGGTCTTAATTCCAGCTGTTGTATTGACAGTGGTCTTTATCTTCCTCAGAAAATTTTATTTAAATCTATCACGAGACATAAAGCGACTAGAATCAATAAGTATAGAATTTGAAATCATCTGTCCTTATCAATCTATATTTAGTTACTAATCTATGAATTTGTGTCCATTTTGCAGATAATAGTCCAATCTACGATCATTTATCCATAACTCTTCAAGGATTACCGATTATAAGAGCGTTTAATGCAGAGAAGAGATTTCAAGACAACTTCTTAGATTATATGAACGTACATACACAGACTTGGATAGTGTTTGCAGGATCGATGCGATGGATTGCATTCCATCTCGACTTAGTTAGCAGTTTATATATTGGTGGGGTTGCCTTCGCGTCTCTGATTGTATCTGATCGTAAGTGTGAATATCATACAAATACGAGTATTTTAAATCTGATAAGTATACATACATATAATTCTCCTGATTTACTGCCTATCGACTCGTTGACTAACGGCTTATAAATTAATGTTTCCATTCACTATAATTTGTGTATAGACATAGATCCAGGTTTGATTGGCCTATCGCTTAGTTATTCGCTGATTTTACTTGGTAATCTACAATGGAGTATAAGACAGAGTGTTGAATTGGAAAATCAGGTATTGCATAAGCAATATTTTAGATATCATCAAATATAGTTATAGATTTGAATATTAATGCATTGCACACACTTTTGGAAAAGAACAATAATTTATATAAATTTGTATTTTCAGATGACCTCAGTCGAAAGAATACGAGAATATATTAAATTGCCATCAGAGGGAGACTTGGAAACAAGCAAAGATCCATCCGCTAGCTGGCCGGAATATGGCAATATTATTTATGATAACTTATCATTTGGTCATGGTAAAAATTTACCCAATGTTCTTAAAAACATATCTTGTACAATTTTGGGTCAAGAAAAGGTATACGAGTAGTGCTAGAAATTCTCTCATTTTATGAGAAAATTAACATCATTTAAATGTATTGGCGTTTGTTTCCTTCTTCAAGATCGGTATCGTTGGTCGAACAGGAGCTGGTAAATCATCATTTATTGCTGCCCTTTTCCGTATATCTGAGCCGGAAGGGAGTCTAATAATTGATGGTGTTGATTGTAAGAAAATTGGACTACATTGCTTACGCAGTAGAATCTCAGTTATTCCACAGGTAAGTCTTATGAAACAGCGATTACATTGGCTACATAGTAGAATCTCTGTTATTACTCAGATAAGTCTTAAATAGCGACTCCATTTTCGTCGCATTATGTTGTGTATTTTAAATTTAAACCTGCAATTAGGAGCCAGTCTTCTTTACTGGGACAATCAGAACCAACCTAGATCCTGGCAATAGATACTCTGATGAACAGTTATGGGATGCGCTAGAGGAGGTAATTAGGAAATGTTTGTCGACCGCTATTACTCGACAAAAGACCAGAGATCAGCATCGTCTATTTTGTCACCATAGTACGGGATATTTACGATATTTGAGAGATATTTCAAATTTAATACATTATTGCAATAATTAGGTACACATGAAAGAATTTATCTCGACACTTCCTGGTAATGTGCATGCACTAGTTACAGAAGCTGGTAGCAATTTTAGTAATGGGCAGAAGCAACTTTTATGCTTAGCAAGAGCTATCCTAAAAAGAAATAGGATACTTGTTATTGATGAAGCAACAGCAAACGTCGACTTTAGGTGAGCATTAGTAGCTATCATGCTGTCTAGCGTGTGATACACTAGGAATAAAATCGTCTTGTATGAAAAGGGAGCAATCTTAAATTATTGCCCAATTAAAGATGTATTAGGCAAAATTATACATGATGAATGAGGTTGCCAACTAAATTTAATGTAAACTTATAGGACTGATAGCATTATCCAGGATTCAATAAGGAGAAAATTTAAGGAATGTACAGTAATTACAATTGCTCATCGCCTTAATACAGTCATTGATTCAGATCGGATTATGGTAAATTTTCTAATTAAATATCATTGCGATAGTTTAAGATATTTTTAATATTTCCATAAGAACTGCTATCTCATCTTAATTACTTGAATAAGGCAAGAGTTTATTTTCCGTATATAGGTTTTAGATGATGGAAGAATAGCTGAGTTTGCAGCTCCATTTGCACTGCTATTAAGAGAAGATAGTTTATTTAGTAAATTGATACAACAAACCGATAAATGTGAATTAGAATATTTAATTGGACAAGCAAGAAAATCCTATCATGAAAGGCATAGGAAATCGGTAGGGGCTTTTATGCCGATGATAATGGACGATTTGAATAAAAGTCAAAAAGGTGTTATAGCCAAGGAAAATTTTGTAATCAAAGATTACAGTGGCAATAACGTATCATTCACAGTCTCAATCGAAGACTGCTAATGAATACATTAAGGGACATCATGTGTGCAGTTTTATGGTAAGCGTCGCCAAGATTAAAATAGGAATTTTCATTGTTGTATACATACTTCTTTATTTAAAGAATAAGTGAATATTTTGGACCACCTTGGTGTCGTAATTTATAACGTTTTTTTTGGAGAATACTGTCTTAAAATCAGGCTCTATCTGAACATTTTTGAATATGAAATTCTATAAATGAATAATAATACCAAGAATATACTATCATTATGCCTTTAACATAAATACAAATCGTTTTTTCTTGATGATATCTTATGGATGCAGTACACGTAGATTTAAAATATGTCTGGATCTTTTGATGATTGCCCAAAATAGGATGAAAAAGAATATGACGATAAAGAATACTTCTAATCAATTTTACTTCCCTTTTCAAACAAAACAAAGTCTGAATTATTACATTTGTTTCGTCACTATTCAATTGAAAAATTAAAAAGGAGCATTTCCAAATACTTTGGATGATATTTGCAAAGCAAATATTAAATGCTAGAATTTATGTTGCGCTGATATGAAGTTATATATGATTAAAATTTTATAAAATTGTCAAAGGACGATGCTTCCTAGTATACTACTCGTATAACGATATTTAATATGCCACAGCTATACTGTAGTGGATTAATAAAGAAAGGCTTAGATATTTTCAGTCTCTAATGCTGTTAGATTTAACCTAATGATGCTTAGTGAAAGCCTACCGTTAGATTGTCTGTTAAGACATTACGATTTTGATCTAAGTAAATTTAGAAGTAACTGAAATACCTTCTGTCACTACTTTAATGAGGTTTGTGTAGTTGTAATTACTACAGTACTATTACAAAATAGAACAGTCTTGCTTTCCAATTAAGTAACTAAATGTTAATATTTTGGAAGATCACCAAGTTTATTTTCGCAATGTTACTAACATGAGGTTTAACCTTTCGTTATTATAAACCATAGCAGTTGGTTTAAATTGGTAATTCACTAGAGGCTATTCGATGCTATCAAGGCTAAAGCAAAATATCTACAGAGAAAGAAATACTGCTTGTATAAACTATACCTGCCCTAGCTTAACAATAATTAGTAAAAGCCGATGTACCTATCAAATTTGAAATTGAAATAGTAATATGATATAGCTATCTATCACTATTGCTAGTATAATCCACAACAGTTCAATATAAAAATTGTACAGTAATGGGCTATACAAATGGTGTCAGGTTGAAGATTGCGATAGCTATAATATAGAATAGTGAGTATTATAATACAGCCTGATTCCGCCTAGTTTAAAATAATCACGTCGAGATTATCGCATGCTACTCCAATTTAAGGTTGTAATAACAACAACGCAAATTTCGGTTTGATTTAAGAAATAGTTTAGTGCATGTTATTAGACGTTATCTTACTGATATCGAAATGGTAATAGTATAAAAGTGTTACTGTTAGGGCTAAAGCCCGAATTCCGACTATTAGGCATAATAGCCATATTATTACTACGGCCAAATACTGCCATTGTATCAATCTTATTCAAGTAAACTTAATAGGATACTTTTAAATTTTAATATTAAAGTGTCAATAATACTGCTAGTCTTTAACGGCAGAATATCATAACGGATATGCATTGTATTAATAAATCATAATGATAAAATTATAAATAATAGTTATTATACTAGTTTAGTCGTAAGATATCAAGTAAGCTATTAAATAAACTTACAATCAAACTCTGGACTGCTAATTGCACATATTGCCATTTTCAAAACATTTATAGCTTTTTTGTCTATAATAGACAATAAGATCAATGTTAAAGAGTGTTGATAGAATGAAAAGTTGCCTGATAATATAACAGCTGATCATTTATTGATTTACTTTTAATTTGTTTGAATAGAGTCATAATTGAAGTAATATAAGCAGCTTCTAAAGGGTCATTTGATGTGACCGAATACCTTAATGGAGGATTTTTACCGGATACATAACATTTAAAGGCCAATGTTTTTTTAATTTGCTTAATTTTGCTGACATAATCATAGTTTTCTTAATGCAAGTAATTTCTGGCAACACTCTGGAGTGGGTAATTTACAAAAGCATTCGTTGCTGTATTCAAGAAGTAGAAATTAAAAAGCACGAGTATATTAAGTCGTTTATAGGATGCGATTACAAAAGGACGGTCTAGAGCTCAAACCTAATACTCATGTTCATTTTACGAATCTAGGGTTTGTGCTATAGGCGAACATCGAAAAGATTTATATTAAGGATATACTGAATAGATGGCTTAAATATATGCATCATTAGGGTCACAAGGTCCGTTATGGTCTATTGCTCCTATGCATTTTATAGACCTAAAACCTATTACTACAACGAAAAACTAGAGCATCGATGTCACGATAATCTACAGTTAATGATGTGGTAGTTTTAATGATCTATGTATGTAAATCATTGCGACTGAATCAAATTACTATAGATATTAAGGTGATAATTATATATACAAGCAAAAGAAAATTAATTTGTATCAAATAAAAGAAAAACATGAACATCTAATGGTCTGAAATACGAACATGCATTGTATATCTAGTAATTATATAACACACCCGTATATGATAGTGTAATAAAGTGTCTTACCAAAAATAAATTAAGAACTACAGTTTTCTTGTAACTTTTACTTTATTGTACAAATTAGGCTCGTCTAACTACTATAAAGACTATCTTTGGACTAGCTCTTTACTATCTAAATTATTATAGCAAATAACGACAATTCATATACAATTAGCTACAGGATGATTTTCCTTCAACATAATCATATCTTGCCAACTAAGTCACAAAATCACACCTCAATTTACTATCGCACCATCAATTTATAATTCACGCTTTTAATTTAAGCGTCACAACAAAAATCTCACAGTACTAACATACCTAACGCAATCTATTTATGTCTCGGGATTTTGATACAAACATCTCAATAGACTTGCTACAATACATATTGCAATCTTCTTCTACAAATAGACACTTATACAGCCTTATAATCTCACGTTCAATTCATCTATTTTCGTACAATTAAACAATGTTATTCTTAGATATATTTGATGCTGTAATATAGCTAGTTTCGCCGGTTTATTAAAATCAAAATTAACACTAGTGAATCGTAGAATTAGCTGCAGAAATCTATTCAGAATAAGGTAGCAGTTGTGTAAGAAGCGTACTGTATTATCTCTTGAAAGAAAGGTCGTTAATTGTTAAGCACGGTAGTCTGTGGAATTTTAAGGAGAAACCGAATTGTCGAGGTTTAGTTGCAAAGAAATTAAAGATTTCAAGAAAAATAACGTAAATTAGTATTATCGTACTAGATATCTTTATAAATCTTGCCATATGTGTAAATTATGACAAATGATTACCAGATTTACTACTAAATCTAGTAATTCATAACCGAATCATTTTATAAAGTGATCTATCAAATAGAAAGTTTCAATATCTAAACTATGAGGATTAACAACCTCCTGACTTGACTGAGATTCATCTAAGGGAAAACGTCAGTATTGGTGACGTTAATTGCCACCCAACAGGATAGTTGATAGTAATATATCAACATAGTATGTTAAAAATCTATAGGATTCCTTTATATTCCTCAAATGCTTTTCAGATTTATTTTTGGTAGTATCTGCTTACAGATCTTAATATTTACCTTAGACTAAGTATTTCTAAAAGAGAGGCGTGATGTCTATATCTTTCTGTAAAGACAGCATGACTTAGAAATCGTTACTTTTATTAAATTGTTTGGCTCTCTAGACTACATGCAGTTTCTTACTGTAATATCGAAGAAGGAAATAAGATAAAATAAGTTATGAGCAGATTTTATGTTTAAAAAATCGGATTATCTTTAAACTTTGTCAAAATGTCTTTACAGCAATATCTATATACAAATTATTTCAGTTCCTACTACTAATGCTAATCCCTTATATTCGTTCTGCATGTATTCGTATGCTAAAACTGCTTGTCGTATAGTGATACGACATAATATGTTGAAGGTAGACCTAGCAGAAGCTTACTACGAGCGTATTAGGTTAATTCATAAGGATAAATGGTAGCATGTACTCAAAATGTAAGTCAAGGTAGCTGACTCATTATATCCTGATTAAATCATTTAAATCATTGCTAAAGTAATAGTAATAAATCTTTTAGCCCTATACAATAACAATATCTGAATCCAAATCACTCAAGAACATATTTTTCCAGCTCCAACTATCAGTTTAAATGGAATTTATCGTATCTAAATTAATAATCAGACATAATTAAGCTAGAATTCTAAAAGTAGAAGATTTCCAAATACAGAAAAAGCTAAGAGCATAATTTCATTAGTTCAAATTTTGTGCTACTGCTATCGTAGCGACTTTGTTATGTGAGATCGTTTTATTTAAAATGTTAATTTTCTACTCCGTAGTTTTAGATTACTGGTATTATGACTTATTTCTCATACTGTATCAGGATATTAGTAGTCATCTTTATAATAAAATCAAAGTCTACTTTGCTATAGTAAATCTTAAACTCCGTATCTGTAAATAAAGTCAGTCCGATAAGATCATGCTACTGAAAAGGTACAGTTTATTCTGTGAGGTATTTGAAATCATGACGTAATTACTAAAATCATTTCAGAAGTAAAAATATATAAACTATATTTTCTAGTCTTGTTCTCAGTCTATAAATGAATTCATTCCATAATAAACCGCTCCTGGAGCACTTTCTTATGCCGCTAAGAATAATATAGACTCATAAATAATCATCTTATTCATCCACCTTGGGCTATAATCAATTCTTCATATATTAATTTTTTATATATGAGATTAAATTTATAGCATAACCATCATAATATAAAGTTAAAAACATGAGCTTCCTTCTCTTCTATAAATCAAAAATTTATCCATAAAGAGAATATGATGTGAATATTAAAATTCATGGATCTACTTGGTACTTACATTAGCCACGTAACATTCAAACATAGCAACGCTAGT